TGTAGGAACTGGCTAGCATTGTGGTTGTCATATAATAAGCACTAAGTAATATTGATTATCACAAAATAAGCACTTAATAATTTATTGATTTAATTACAGAACAAATTAATAAATGAATGTATGAGAGTCAAATTTATGTCCCACATCTTTCATAATCTTTTCTTTTTATTCACCTATACTAATAACCATTTTAGCTGATTATCTTTATTTCTAAATTTCTAATATATCCTATGAATACTCTCATTCTTTTTATTACATTTAGTGGATACTTATATACATGACATATGCAAACAAAACCAAAAACCAAACTCACTGCCATTGAGGTGATGACGACTCATATGGAAGTAGACTGCCCAGTCTTCCTTCCATGGAGCATCTGGTGGGTTTGAACCACCAACCTTCTGGTTAGTAGTCAAATGCCCTAGGCACTGCACCACCAGAGCGCATTCCTTTTATCACAGTTAGTGGATACATGACATATGCAGTGCTCATTTAATCATCACAGCAACTCCATGATGTATATACTATTATTTTTACAGGTGAGTAAATACACCTCAAAGAAGGTAGGTGACTTGGTCAAAGTCATACAACTGTGTATGATGGTAGAGGCAGGATTTGTGCCCAGGCAATATGAACCCAGAGCTCACAGTCTTCCCACTCACTGGGGAAGTTCTACTTGTCCTTCAGGGCCAAGCATAGGTTTGGCTTCCTAAGAAAACTTTCTTGTGACTCTTAAGACTGGTTCAGGGCCTTCTATTGCTTCTGGAGCATATCCTGCAACACTCTGTGTCTTCATTGTCTTTGCTCTTTAGATAGCAGGCCCTGTGAGTCACGAGTCTTATTCTCCCATTGGCATAGCACCTAAGGCACTTGACTGCTAACCAGAAGGCTGATGGTTCAAACCCACTAGCCACTCCTCGGATGGAAGATTGGGCAATTTACTTCTGTAGTGATACCGACTCAAAAACCCAAAGAGGGGTTGCTATGCGTCGGGTCCGACTGGACGGCAGTGTTTTTTTTTTTTTTTAACCATCTTATGAAGCTGTTGGGAAAGGAATTCCTAGGAGCAGATGAGGAAACAGTAGCTTGGGCACTTGCCTGATATTAAACAGGTATTCTCTATCAGAGTCAGAGCTAAGACTTAGGTCTTCAACCCAACCCCAGGGTCCTTCATTTTGACAAAGCCTTTTACAAGTATTTCAGGGTAGATGATAGTGTTCATATAATTGCAAAAAACTACGATGATTACCTAGAGAAATGTTCTCATTGTTGAGATCTGGCCTAGATAAGGGAAATGGATTATCCAAGTTTGTGGAGCAAATTAGTAGAAAGACAGATTTGAATGATGAAAGCATAGAGAGAGTTTGGGATTTAGTCCTCACCCTGACATTTAGTTCTTACTGATTGGTGCATAATATAAAGTATAAACCAGTTGTTATTGTCCTTACTGTCATTGTCGTTGGCCTAGATGCAAAGAATAGTTTTTCTCTCCCTAACAATTCCTCTATTCTATTTGGCCCAGGCTTCTCTTATTGGATTACTTTATTACTGTTTTCTTGACTTGTGTTCTTTTGCAATCATTTGGATTGTTCCTCCCAGCTATAAACCTCTCCACCTTCAGTCACCTACCCCCTATAGGCTTTCATTTCATCAGAGCTGCCAAGTCAGCCAATCAGCATCTCTTGTCTTCATTCCAGCTGTGCTCCATACAACTCAGGCCATTTCCTGGCTGCTATCCTGAACCAGCTCTGCAATTGCTAAAATATTAATGGCTTCCTTTGTGAAAAATAGCACAGTGAAGTCTCTTGTCAATTAACATTGCCAGAGAAATGGAAACAATGACATGGAGGAAAAAAAGCAAAATTATAATTTCAAAAAGTGATTCAGTTAATGCAGCAGAGGACACTCTTAGCTCTCCTTTCTTCATCAAAATGCAGTGACAAGTGTCATCACCATTGGCTGAGATTCATCATCTTGACCACAGAGATGGGATGGATAACAAGGAAGATGAGCCCTGTAGCTTTGCCAAGCAAGTCCACTTGGAGAGAGGAGGAGGGACAAGCAGTATAAACTAGAAAACAAAAAGTAAGCCATGTGGATAAGGGGAACAGAGGATTCCTGTAGTTAAACATGCAAGTGACATGTTGGTGGAGGAGGACTGAAGGACACTGAGAAAAAGTACAGATAGTCTCAAGTGCAATGAATTGTGGTTTCCTCCTTTGTCCAATCCTTAATTAAAGCACTTATCACTTTATGTTTTAATTATATGATTTCCCAACCACATAGGCTTTGTCATCATTGTATCCCTAGTGTTTTACACAGGGCTTGGCATGGATCACAATGTTCAGCTTTATTTTCTGAATAAATGGATGAGTAATTGGAAAGGCCAGAGGTAAAGAGCAAAAACTGACCCTTAATATTTGCAGAATAGTAAATGTCAATATTTTTTATTACTTTTATGATAAAGAGAGTACAAAGGTTTGGGGACAGAGACTTCATAGGAGGAAGAAAGATAGTGCCAGTGGTGTCACTAGGGTTGGCGTCACCCCGTGTGCTAATTCATGGACTCACCCCCCTTCATGGACTTACTCCCATACCAGACCATACAAAATCCTTAGTTACACTTATTTTCAATTTAAATCATAGAATAATATAGGATGAATATAGCTGCAAATTGCTTAAATGTAATATTGCTTAGATTATATGAAGATAGGCAGTCCTCGGGTTATGAACGAGATCTGTTCCTAACTGCATCTTTAAGAATTTGTAGCTAAGTTAGACCAGGTGCATGTTTTTCTTATGTAACCTTACCTAGTGCAAAGAGACCTGGTATCACAGTGGTTAAAGCATTTGGTTGCTAACCAAAAGGTCAGCAGTTTGAACTCACTAGCCACTCTGTGATAGAAAGGTGAGGCAGTTTGCTTCAGTAAAGATTTATAGCCTTGGAAACCCTAAGGAACAGTTCTGCTCTGTCCTATAGTGTCACTATGAGTCAGAATCAAGTCAATGGCAGTGGGTTTTGGTTAGTGCAAAGTACTGATGGCCCAGTGGTTAAAGTGTTCAGCTGCTAACCAAAAAGTAGGTGGTTCAAACCCACCAGTCACTCCACTGAAGAGATGTGGTAGTCTGCTTTTGTAAAGAATTACAGTCTTAGAAACCATATGGGGCAGTTCTGTTCTGGCCTTTACGGTTCCTATGAGTTCAAATCTACTTCATGACAATGGGTTTGTTTAGTGCAAGGAAAGGCTCAAAGCCCTTTTGATGATTTAAAAGCTACACTAGAAGCAAGTGAAGATGATGCATTGTTGAGAGTAGAGGTTGTTTCAAGAGTTTCAAAGAGAAGGCACATTTACAAAACATTAAAGAACAAATAGAGTCAGTAACTAAGAAGTTCAAAACCCAAGGACTGCCTTTACTAACAACAGAATTTTTTTGTAAAATCTTTGTACATCGAATTACAATATTATTAGTAACCAACCTGCAATCTTTAAAATTTTTGTCCTTCTTTTCCTTTAATTACTACTGCCTCTCAAAAAAGTTATTGGTATAATTTCACAAATACTGTCACGATGTTGTAACTAAAATACCAGGAAACTTGACAAAATCAGTGACTATAACAATATTGGCAGCAACAAAAACAACAGTGCGCACGTGCAGACAAAATCATGTGATTAAAAGTATCATTGTAATTGGCTACTAAAAACAGCTTTGATCTGAGAGCATTAGAAGGTTCAAAAAGTAAATTAGCATAGCGTTTTAGCTTTATAGGTATATCGATACATGTAAGCCGGGCTTACAAAAATGTTTTTGTTGTTATAACTACACAGATATTTTTATAAAAAATAATTTCTGCTGAAGCACTACAGAAAAATTTTATAGACAGTCATTTTGGTGTCACTTCCTCTGACAATGTCACCCAGTGTGCTCTGCACACGCCCCTGCCCCCGTACCCCCTAGTGATGCCACTGGGTAGTGCCACCTTTTCTCCAGAACACCTCTAAGCTACACATAGAAGGAATCTGGATCACTGGGGCAGCCTTCCCCACCCAGCCCATTGGGACCAATCCAGGTTGAGTTTTCCAATAGCTCCTCATAGTTACATGGCATATGCTGGCCTTCTCAGGAGTCCTGGGCATTTCTCCAGGTAGCAAGGACTCAACCCCCCTTTTCTACTTCACAAAGCAAATTCTCTTCCCAAAGCACTCTCACCTCCCAAAGCTCCCAATCTGTGCCCCATTCTCTGTCTTCTCTTTTCTTTTTTCTTTCTGTCATACTCAAGACTGATCCTTACAGGTTCCTCTGGTTCCTGCACACATTTTCATTACTGGGTATGAGAAGATTCTTTTTCTGATCAAGGAAATTCTTCTGGTCATAGTCTGTCAGCTCTGCTTCTAAACCCTTCCACCTCCACATTTCACTTTCCATTGTCCTCACTGCTGGAACACAAGCTCTGCACTTGAATTTCTAAGCATGTAAGCCTCACATGGAGGGGAAGAGTGGAATTATGTCCTGTCAAAGCAGGAAAGCTGCCTTGGTGAAGACTCTGGGTTTAAGTTAACCTTGAGTATATTCCTCTCCAGGCTATGGCCCTGTCCCCCACCACACTGACCCTTTTCAAAGGTACTGCTCAGCATAAGGCCTACTTGAAGCTCATGTAGCAGTAAAGGTAAGGCTGTGACAGGTGCTTCCTGGAGCCAGGTTTTTCTCCAGGCTGTGAGCATGCACACTAGATATGTGATGTGTAAGGAAGTCATTGTCAATCATATACAATGGTTGCTATGGAATGTGTTGAAAGAGAAACATGGTTTAATTGTGGATTTTACTATAAGTGGAATACTAGTCAGGAAGGCCCAGGAAGCTAGCATTGCAGCTACCAGCTCAGGGAGAGGGAAAGAGAGCAGCAGAAAGAGTTATAGGAGTTTCAACTGATGTTAACATGTGTGGACAACCTCAGGTCCCCTGCCCCCTTTCTCTTCACCCAGGTTTGATATGTGGCAAGTCTAAACATTTGCAAATTCACAGTCATAGTCAGTCATCCGGCACATTATGAACTTCCACTGGCGATCCCTGTGGAGAGAGAGTCAGAGAGCTAATGTCAGTGAGAAAAGACACGGAAGGAAGATCACTGCTGGGGGAAAAGCAACTAGGGATTGAAAGATGTAGGGATTGAAAGGACACCTAACATTACTTTGTTCTTAGAGGACACCTCTGTAAAATCTCTAGAGAACTGACAGGTAATCATTTTCAAGGTTAGGAATCCTGTATACCTCCTCACCCAGTTCAGGTTGTGTCTTGAACACAATGACTAGGCTACTGGGTGTTAAGATTCCTGTTTATAACTTGTGGTTGGTTCACCACTCCTCTCTCCCAATGATATCTCAATGGCATATAGGTTAACAGATTGGAATAGAAGCATTTATTTAATATTGTCTCCATTTTATTCTATAGCATGTTCTTTTCCATAGGCCTCCCTGGGTGGCGCAAACATTTGAAAAGTTCAGCCATTGAATATGCAGTAGACAGTTTTACTTTAACATACATGAGGTTGCCATGTGTCAGAATCAACTGGACAGCAACTGTTCTTATTTGTTTCTTTTTCTCCCCTATTTGCTCATTTATTCTTTCTTTTACCAAGAAGTTACCAAGTGCTAGGTTTTGTATTAAGGGCTCTGGTGGTGTAGAGGGTCAGGCATTTATTTGGCTGCTAACCAAAAGGTTGGTGGTTTGAACCCACCAGCCACTCCATGGAAAAAACATGAGGCGACCTTGGAAAAGATTTACAGCTTTAAATGAAATGCGATGGCAATGAGTGAGGTTCTGGGTTAGTCAGTTTGTGATTCCCTTCAGAAAACATTATTACTGACTAATAAAGTGAGAGGAAACAGCTCTAATATTTCTTAACATGAAAAAGAAATTCCCTGTCATTTTTGCATAACAGAAATTGAATTGCATATCTGTTTTAGAGGGCAGAGGTGAGTGTGAGAGTAGATGGGATTGCTCAGTTTTGAAAAACATGGTGTGGATACATTGCTAGGAATGTTTTTTTCCTAAGGGCAAGTCTATGTTCTTTATTTATACATTTAACAAAGAATACATTGAATGCCTTCCCCGCATGGCCTACCTCTGGCCTTATATCATTTGATAATGACAATGGCAACGATAATAATAATTTTAGGAACTATTTACTGAGTATCTCCAATATCTCCAGCATTGTACTAGAAGCCTCACCTGTTTTCTCTTTTAATCCTCACAGTGATTCATGATACAGGTGACCAAACAGGTTCAGAGAGGACAAGTGACTTGCTTTAAATTAATGAATGTTAAGTTGTGTGTTAGCTGCTATTAAGTTGATTCTGACTTGGGTAACAATTAGAGATTCTCTCACCCAGGTTTTTTGGGCTCAAATCTTGCTCTTCCTCTTATACCACACTGACTTCTTAAAAAGGTAGCCCTAGCCTGCCAGGGGACATTGCTGTTGCCCTTTGCACAGTTCTGATAAAGTGCATAATGTAAGAATTGTTCCATATTTGAACATGCATAGTCTTCCAAGGTACATTGAGATTGCTTAACCTTAGAATTCTCCTCTTTCTCTTTCAGTTTGCAAGGCCTCTTCCCAGTTCAGTCTGTCCTTTGCATTAATACTGAAAAGGCCTCCATTCTGCCTCTGAACTGGAAGGTGAGGTACCTGCCTCACTATTCTAGGAGGTAGGTTGTAGGAGGTAGCTGAGGTAAATGTTATTTCTAGCTTAAAGCAGGCCTTGTAATTCTAAGAGTGGCTGCAAGTTATTTGTTTAGAATAGTTGAGAATAAGGTCACCAGAAGAAGTCTTTGGGGGCCTGAGTGGCCAATGATTTATTGGTATTGTTTCTGCAATTGTTGTCAACCCAACTCCTGCCTTGTTTTAGATGGAGATTAGCAAATTGATAACATGTGTGTTTATCAAAAGACTTTCATTACTACAGGCAGGTCTCTGTGATACTAAGAAATACAGATAGATAAGATCTTATGACTTGGTCCTATAAAAGACTTTTCAGGAACTCAACCAGGCTCAATCTCTGGTTTCTCTCTAAGATAGTGGTTCTCTCCAAGATAATGGGGAAATTTTGCACCCCAGCGAATTTTATCAATGTCTGGAAACATTTTGGCTGTCATAAATGCAATGCAAGTGTGCTTCTGCCATCTAGTATGTAAGGCCAGGGAGGCTGGGTAACATCTTACAATGCATAGATCAGATTTCTGCAACACAGAGCTATCTGGCCCCAAATGGCAGTAGTGCCAAGACTAAGGAACTCCATTTCAAAAGGAAACCACTATGATTTTTGCATATGGAAGGAAAGCCCCTGTAGAATTTGTCCTCTACGGACAATATTTCTCAAGATAATGCCTCAGTGTCTGCAGAATTGATTGTTAGTGACAGCAGCAAAATTGCATGAGTATAGTTCATTTTAAATAAACTCAATGACACAATACCTCAGTTTTCCAGAATTCTGGGGAATCCATAGAACTGGACACTTTCAAGTCAACTAGGATTAAGTGTTTTAACTGCCAAAGTATATATATATTTGTAATCATTTAGATGGAATTCTTTCTGTAATATATTCTTTCCAGCCTTCTTTAATGGGAGCTCTGGTGGCATAGTGCCTAAGGCATTTGACTGCTAACGAGGAGGCTGATAGTTCAAACCCACCAGCCACTCCTTGGAAGGAAGGTTGGGCAATTTACTTCTGTAGTGCTACTGCCTTGGAAATCCGAGGAGGGGTCGCTATGAGTTGGATCTGACTCAATGGCACCTAATAACAACATGCCTAGGAGATGCATCTTTTTGTGTTCCATTTCATTTTGACAATTTCCAATTTTCTCACATTCTTGCTTCTTATATTCCAAGTTCTAATCATTAATGAATGTCTGCAGCTATTTCTTCCTATATTGACCCATCAGCAAATGGAGGTCCCAAAAGCTATATTCCATTCATATCATAAGGTCAAGTCTACTTTGAGGAGGCAGCTCTTCTCCAGTCATATTTTGAGTGTCTCCCAACCTGAGGGGCTCATCATCCAGTGGTATATCAGATAATATTTTACTGCTATTCATAAATTCTCAAATAATATACTAGAGAGTGTTTTCCTGCTATTGATAAGGTTTACAGTGGCGAAGTTTTTTTTTTTTTTTTTTTTGGTTTTTTTTGACTTTCTTTAACAGAGAATACAGAAGACATTTTCTTTTTGGCTTGGAGATGTCATTAGAAATAGTGAACACCATGATATGTTATTCTGTGTGGTGCTCTGGGGCTACACTCTCCTGCTCAATGGCACCATCTATGTTCTTTAAGTTCTTGTATCATTTCTTTCTTTCTTTGTTATAATATTTTAAATATTTTTTAAAAGTACATATGTAAATACATACATATTTTGGGGAAGTAGATTGCCCAATCTTCCTTCTGAGGAGTGGCTGGTGGGTTTGAACCACCAGCCTTCTGGTTAGCAGTCAAATGTCTTAGGTACTATACCACCAAAGCTCCCTTAAAATGTATGGAAAATAAAAATAAATAATGTGTGAGACTTAAATAGTTCTCCTATGGGGAAACCTAGATTTTAGTTCATGGAGCTTGTAACATGTTTTATGCATTTCCAGAGCTACTTTTTTTTTTTTTAAATTCTGTGCCATATTAAGTAAACTTCAGTCGAGTAAGATTTTATTTCATTTGAAAATATGAATATACACAAATGATCAGGTGCACACAAATTTATCATATTTCATTATTTAATGAGTTATACAAATCTTATTTTGTTGGTGAAACATTTGTCTGTAACTCTTCAAGAATTCATTTGTTGTGTAAAGTGATTATCACCTGACTAAAAGTAGTCCATGCCAACCTTTTAACACTTATATTTATCCTTGCCTCTCTGTATACCAATAGGTAGAAATGGTCTTGTTTTCTTTTACTGTTTTATCTATATGTACTCGAGGTAGAGTTGGGAGCTGCTTGTGAGGGAAAGAAAGGAAAAAAGTTCATACTGTTTTTTCTTTAGATTATTTAAATTCTCTTCTTTCATTCCTAAGTGTGGTTAGTAGGTTTTGTCTGTTTCTTCTCCCCAACCTCCTCACCTTCTTTTCTCTCTCCTTTTCTACAACCCAAAGTAGGAGTCAAACAGAGGGAGAGTTCTGTCTGACAGTGGGTATGCTCCAACCATTTTTTCTTCTCTTCCTAAGGACAAAGTGCTCTTGGAACTGAGTGAGGGGAAAAGCTTAGAACATGATGGGACACCACGTTTAGGATTCTCTAGTCTGGAGCAAGCCTGGAGTCCAATTTCATGTCCATGGGTGAGCAGATCCACGAGGTGGGCTCATAAGAACAGCTCACTCCCCATTGCCTCCCATTGTTCAGCTAAACCCTGAGTTAGTTCCAGACCAAATAGGAAAATAAAACAGGGAAAACCTGAGATCAAAATTCCTGAAGAACAATCCATACATAGAGTTAGTCCCTAGACCCTTTAACCCCTTGCTTATGAGAAAGGCATACCTTTCTACTGCAGAGAAAGTAGTCGTTGCTCCTCGCATATAATAATCGTAATTATAGGAAACCATGTCCATCTCCTCACCATAGTGTCCTGGATACTCTGTTGTTAGCCTATGTGGAAAGAACAAAGATAAAACATGCTATGACTGCTGGAAGCAAGCTGGAAATGTGCAATGTAGAAGAGATAATGTTTGAACATCTTGGGAGATTTGAATTGGGGTTGTATGGCTACCACCATACAATTCCAGGCTGTGAAAAGACAGACAGCTATCTTCTCATTTCTCATCTTCCTTTTCCTTGCCATTAATCTATACACTGAAAAATATGTAGATCAATCCACAGGCCTTAAGGAAATGTTAATATCAATATCAGTCTAATTCCATTGAAGTTAATAGGATTTTATTTTCAAACTGTGAATTATGACCCACCAGTTGTCATGAAATCAATTTAATTCATTATGACAAGCTTAAAAAAAAGAAAAAAAAACTTAAAAATATCAGAAAGCATTTATGTAATAAGGTTAAGTTCATGTGTGTATGTGTAAACTGTTTCACATATATGCATATGTCTATGTAATATCTATATTATGTGATAGTTTAAAAGGTATTTCTTACTGCAAGTCATGATCAAAAAGTGTTTGAAGAATATTTAACTAAAATATAAGTTCCATAAGGGTAGGTATTTTCCTTGTTCATCATTGTTTCTTTGACACCTAAGACAGTTCTTGGTACATGGTATTTGTTGACTAAATCAATGGTCTTTAGAGAGTCACTTAATCTCAATTTAATGATCTATAGAAGATTCTGGATTTGCCAGCTCCCACAACTCTGTGAGCCAGCAGCATGCTGAATAATCAGCAGATTTTTGATTCCTCAGCCCTTTCTACATTTGAGTCTAGAGAAGCCTTCAGCCTGCTGCCTGACCCATAGATTTGGGACTTTGCCTCCACAATTACAGGAGTAAATTCCCTGAAACAAATCTCTCTACAGACACAGGGAGGAGGTGGCTATGGGGAGAAAGTGGGAAGAGAGCTGTTGCATTGTGGGAGATTACAGTCAATGTCATGAGACAAAGTGAATGTGAACTGCTGTATACAAGAAGAATTTGCTCTGTAAATTTTCACCCAAATCACAATAAAATAAAATAAAAAAAAACTCTATATATTTGTATATATGCTTCTTTGGTTTCACTCCTATAGAGAATCCAGCCTAAGACATTATTTGTTTGTTGTTGGGATTAATAGGAATATGCATAACATACTGGTACATAGTAGATATTGAAACATTAGGAGCTACTCTGTTTCTTCCGTCTACTCCTCCTTTTCTTTTTTTCTTCCCCAAGATTTATTCAATTCAGGGTTTATCAATGAGTAAGTCCACAATGATCCATCTTGAGTAAAGCAGGTTCAAAATTTCATGGTTTTAATAAGGGCTTTAGTACTGGAGATCTTAAGAATCAAAATAGTACTTTTGAGGAACAAATGGATTCTCCAAAGTTTTGATCTGTTTCCTCAGGCTGTTTGGAAAACAACTACTTACATGAATGTAATTTATCTGATTTGGCTTTACCAGGGCATTGTGTATTGATAACAGAAAGATTTTCTCCTAGATCTTTCTTTTATTGTAAATATTGTCACAAGATATTGAAAGATAGATTTTTAAACTGTAAGCGTTCCAAGGAAGATTTCTTCCAGATCAAAGGTCAGCACAAGATAACCTGGAGTTAGCTGGAGCCCAGACTAAAAGTCTACTCTCTTGATTAATAAATGTTTCTTCCTCCATATCATGCAGTGGGAGCTCTGACGACATAGTGCCTAAGACATTTGACTGCTAACCAGAAGGCTGACAGTTCAAACCCACCAGCCACTCAGTGATACTTCGGAAACCCAAGGAGGGTTGCTGTGAGTTGAATCCAAGTTTATGCCAGTCAGTTTTTATTAATATATATATATATATATACACACATATATATATACATATACATATACATATATCCTTTATTCTCTGCCTTTTCTCTTCTTAAGATATAATTATGTTATCCCAACCCAGAGTGAGTTGCATGTGTTTTTGCTTATGGTCATGAAGGGATGAAAAACACATTTGTGCTTCTAAAAAGACCAAAAACCAGGACTTCCTTGTTCTAACGAAAAAAGTCAGTTAAATGTCTCATAAATGGACCTGGAAGGACCTTATTTGGGTTCTCATTTTTTTTTTGTGATCCATTTACCCAGAGAAGAAATAGGGATTTGTTGAGAACACGAATCATGTAAATAAGATTACAAGAGATTGAGCTGGGTATGTTTTCCTTCAGAAAATGCAAAATGTTTTCCAGAACTTTTTAAGCAATTTTTGAGACAGTATAAAAATGCTAAGCACCAGATATTTCTATTTCTGCTAAGATAGCATCTACACAGGACAATGCTGCTTTAGGCTAAATGCATTCACTAAACCTATTTGGAAGTAATCAGGCTAGATTTTTATTTTGTAAGTTTTCTTTACCCCTCTGATATACTCTCATACCTTGATAGTTAAATACATTTAAAATAGGGTGGGAAGGAATTGAATTTGTTAAAACATCAGGGAATTTTAAACTTCACTGAAGGAAAAAGTTATCCAATGCTCTTCTTCACTGGCATTCTCTATTGCTTCATTTTTGGTCATGATGAAATCGAGTGAAGTAAAAACTATTTCCTCCACCCTGGTTAAGGCAGATAATTAGATAAGACCCAGGATGGGAATAGATAAGTAAACTAAATTACCCCCAACTATTTCCCCCATTCTGGTTAAGGCAGATAATTAGATAAAACCCCAATGGGAATAGATAAAGTAAACTAAATTACCCTCAACTATTTCTCCACCTCAGGCAGATGAATATTCAGTTCCTTAAAGAACTGAATGGAAGGAAAACATTCTTTCCTGCAGGTGATAGATGTGCTAAAAGTGTCTTAGAAAACAGCTTCTAAATTAACTCTAGCCCTCTGACCGACATGCACAGTAGGGCAGAAAGGAACAAAAGTTAATGGGAATGGACACTCTTTCCTCTGCCTAAGTCGGGATCAGCTGATGACAGGAAGCTGGTGTTACTCATCCGCCTCCAGGCACAATCATCAACCATTTCCCATCCCAAATTCCTCAAGTTTTTGTGAATATGCATAACCCCCCCTTCTGAAACCTATAAAAACTGTATTAGGATGGCATCTGGGGAGTCACATCTGGGTGCAAGGACACCCCTACTCCTTGCATTGCCACTTTGCAATAAATAATTTTCTCTCCTCTTAATCACTCTATGTGTAAACTATTTTGGCCTGACTGCACACCGGGCAGGGACCTGCGTTTGGTCCAATAACAGTGACCACACACAAGCCCTTGCCCAGGTGGACAGTTCTGCTGGGAAGCATCTCTGTGGGAGACTGTTACTCATTACATTATTAGAATATTTCTAGACCATTCTGGAGAAGGTATGGTGCATGCTTGTCCATGCATTTCCACCTTGGTCCCAGCCAACTGTTTGTTTTGTTTATTTTATTTTTGGCTATTGATTTGTTTTATTTTTGCTATAAAACCATGAGATCAAGTTTAGACTATTTTACAGAACTCTGGATTCTGTGGTGCATGAGAGTCTAAAATCAGAGGCACTGGCTGTGTATAAATAGCAGTCTGAAAGTGGAGTCTTAACTCTGGTTTAAAGTCTTTTTTTTTTTTTTTTTTAATAAAGTGGTATCCTATAAAAATGAGTATGGTAATCCAGGAAAAGTGACTAGTTGGAGAAAAGATAATGATTTATGTTATGTCCTGGAGAAATGGAACATTTAAGGTTGCTTGCATGAGAAGTAACTAGAAAAGAAGCTGAAATAGATCTGCCAATGGAACAACAAAAAAACAATAAAAACAACAAAAAAAATTAACAACAAAAATAAAGAATAAATAAAAATAAATGAGTGTGTTGCTTCAGAACCCAGAGAAACAAAGTGGTTTAAGAAAGAAAAAGTGATGTGTAGATGTTAGGTACTTGAAAAAGATCAGAGGTAGGATTACAGCTGAAAATCTATGGATTTAACACTATGGCAGACTGCAGAATTTAGAAAGTACATTTTCCATGGCATGGTAAATGTGCAAAACATTGGAGTAGGCTGTAGGAGGTTTAAATAAATGTGTCTGCAACCTGAACCTCTAGAATCACTGAAATTCAATTTCTATTTCCTTACATTTGCCTTCTTTCTTTCTTTCTTTCTTTTTTTCATTGTACTTTAGGTGCAAGTTTACAGAACAGAGTTTGTTTTACATTCAACATTTCATGTACACTTAGTTTCACTCCCCATTTACCATCCCCAGCCCTAACCCAGTCTCCTCCCCTCCCTGCCCAGTAACTGTGCCCCCCCCCCATAGTTATGCACTCCTGTGTGTCCTGCATTTCCTCAAGGAGAATGTTTCACCTTTGGTGCCCCATGGTTGATTGCTCCAAGAGTTGCACTTCCATAGAGTATGTGGGCATGTAACCCTGTGTTGAGTGGTCTGCATGTACATTTTGTTTACTACTGGGCTGAGAGCCAGCCCCTGGGAGTGAGTTTTATTCTAGGCCCAAAATATATCCCAGGGCCACAGTATTGGGGGTCTCACCAGACTTCATCCGACCAGTAATTCTGGTCATTATTGTGTTTTTGGATTTTGTTCTACATTTTCCCTCCACTCTATCCTGAATCTCCAGTTTTGATCCTTTCCTGAGTGTTTGGCATTGGTAGCAGGGCACCATCTAGTTCTTCTTGTCTTGAGGTTCATCCATCATGCCCTAGGGCTGATTGCTTCTGGTTTAAAGTCTTGACACGAGTCTAGAGTCCGTGTTGAATCTAAACATTGTCTTTTCTTACAAAAGTTCCTGTAACATTGATGTTGACCTAACCAGATACCCTAAAAGAGATATACTTCTCCTCTGAGGTCTGGCAGGTGCAGGATATCACAGTGTGTTCCCAGAGGCTCTTTCGTCTATGGTCAAACAGATGCAAGATGTGATAGTTTATGCTGGAAGGGTCTTGATGTACATTATTGATAAATCTTTACAGTTGACCCCCCAAAGCAGACATGATTGAGAAAGAATTTTTAATAGTTGGTTACCAG